AGCGCACCGTCCCCCCTTGCCTCAGTGAATATACCCGATCGCAAACGTCAGGACAACGACCCCGTGGTCCGATGGGTAGAGCGTTGAACCTACCAACTTTTACTAAATCAGACGACCCCCGATTCGAACCTCAGGTGCCCCCAAATCTAGGGTTGGGTAAGGCTAGCTGGTGACGGCTAATAAGTCAGAAATAGCCGTCTCGGTCTCCCTAGTCTCTGTCCGCACCACCTTATTTGCATAGACCTGAATTAGTCTCGCTGGAAATTGAAAATCAGGCTGAAGTCCTCTCACTTAATGGAAATGATACTCCTGGTTACGCTCTGTGTTGATTTTATGCAGGGCTCCGTGTTTTCTTATGTGCTGTAAATTCAAGAATACGTTTCTAAGCCCCTTTTGTTGACGTTTTTGCGCCACACGTTGTTACAGGTTACGATTCTGGACCTCCGAGTGTTATTTACCCCCGTGGCTACTTTGGACAATCATCGAGCTTTTATAAACGGTCTGGCATGGGCGCCGCATTCGAGCTGTCACATTTGCACAGCCGCCGACGATTGTCAGGCCCTCATTTGGGACATTCAGTCCATGCCCCGTGCCATCGAGGATCCCATCCTAGCTTACACGGCGGCTGCGGAAATCAATCAGATCCAGTGGAGCTCCGTGCAGCCCGACTGGATCGCTATCTGCTACAACAATTCCCTGGAGATTTTGCGTATTTAATAGGCCATGTACTCATTTTTTACCACGCGTTTGCCTCTGTTTTCTTACAGTGGGAGTGCGTGGGCTGATGGTTTTTTTCAGTTTTTTACGCCGTAGACGTTGCCTATCGTTGCTGCCTACAGCGTTTTTAATCATCCACCACTACATCTTTACTGGTGTGCTGACGGATGGTAAAAAGACATGACGTTCCGAGGGCTAACTCCGCAGCTACCGTTGTACACACCTATCATCATGTAATGCATCCAATTTTAGTCCTTATCTCGGCAACATGTTTTGCTCTTTTTCGTTTTGTCTTTACGCGCTCATCATTTGCAGCGTCTTTCATTCAATCACATCATGCGGATCACATGCATCTCCTCTTCATTTTGTAAATAATAATTTGTTTTTTAGAATCATTTTCTTAATATTTGTCAGACATATGGGTAGGGGTCAGAACAATGCGAGCTGTCGGAGGCCTGTATTGGTGTTTCCCGGGCCCTCTTATGTTATCGCTGCGCATACGGGGTTTACTGCAAAGGGCAGAATATCGGGACGTCCCCACCCAACCTGTCATACACCGACAGGCCGACAAGTCCTTCGATTTGACTTCAGCTTGAGTCGGCTTGAGACGAAGCTTGCAAACCCGCCTCACCGGCTGTTATAGATAGCGTCAGATGCAATATGGAATCAGCTTTTGTCGATCTGGTCGGATTTGAATACGGAATTCGGAAATGTCGTTTGTTTTGGGTTTGGAGACTGCAGCCATCGCAGACGGTCGCAGGGTCAACAGTTGGAGAGTGTAGCGACGAACACTTGGGGAACTTAAATGACCACCATTAGGTCTTTTTTCCACCCTCAGCCAGACGTGAGCCAATCCTACGCCACTACGAAGGCGGAGGGAGGATATGTCAGTTTGAGTGTTGGGCGAGGCAGCTGGTTAGGAACGTTACTGAACTTATCGTCGACAGACTGCCCGAAGAAGTTGTGCAGCTCCTTTTTTTGAACGGCAAAGTACGAACTTCGCACGCACGATAGACGTAATTCAGACTAGCCAATTACAGTAGAACGGTACTTGGGTCCCTTCCTCGAGAAATGTTCGTATAACAACTGCGAACCTCAAGGCAGAAACTCTTACAACGTCCTCATAACATGCAGTCATTGGGAAGCGCTCCGGAAAGGTCATAATGATGAGGAAGGAGTCTGAGGTTGGAAGACCTACCTCGGGAGGATGGCTTATGTAACAGACCTAGAAATGAGTGCGGGGAGTACCTCGAACACCGAAATCACCTGGACAGGTCCCCTGAATGGCAGAAAATGAATGACACCAGATTTACTGTGTCCAGAACCCTGAACTGCTGGCTCAGGCAACCGGGACCATTAGAGAGGCCAGTGCGTGTGTTGCCGGTGTCAAGTCACACCTAGAGAGATTCTGTGTCATCTGTTTCTATATGTTCGTCGGAGGTAGGTCAATTTGGTGTCCAGGTCACGTGTGTCACCTCCCTCGATGTACGGTGCACCAATGGCGCATGGGAGTTGGATGGGGCTGTCTGGACGGATGTGAGCGGGCTGAAATCAGTCGAGTGACTGCAATTCAGTACGTTTGGGGAAGATGAAATTGATCTGCACCAGAAGTGCTCTTGTAGGCTCGAGCTGTTAGAGCCAGGAAATAAAGACAAGTGGTGCAATTATGTCCGGCTATAATTACTTTAGGGCTTTCAATCTCGCACCGGATGCTTAGGCAGATCAATGCGCTCCGTCTCGGAGGCGCGAAAATCCCAACTCGGAAAATCACATCTTATGGTAGGATGTTTTAGAGGATATGAAAGTTTTGGAGTTTTTCAATTTCAAGTGTTTATTGAGAATTCGGGAACTTGTCACCTACTTCAAAAAAATTGCGTGTTGACGAAGCTCAGTTAAGCAGTGATTTCCTTATAAGCAGACTGGCTGTCCTGAGGGACATGACAGGTTAGGATCTGTATACCCCATGTTTCTGCAACAAAGCGAAAACAGCCCATTACTGTTCGTTAGGATTTTAAAGAGAATACTAGAACATTTCCGATCTGCTATGTGAAATTACTTTGGCGATATAGGATAGTCTCGTGAACTATTTTGACATGCAGGACGCCCAGCGGGACCGATTTTTACTAAGGTACACTGACTAAAACGAGAAATGTACTTCGGCGGATTTTGAGAAATCAAATCATTCTGCCTAAATCAATCTTTACCCAATTGTGAGCCTGTTGAGAAATATTTATGTCACGGTAAATGAGCACCAGCGATCTTGCAAATGCATATTTTACGACCAGACAATGAACGAGATATTGGGTTGTCCCATAAGTTCGTGTGCTTTTCAAATATTCAAAATTTAGTCAAAGCCAGCTACTGCCTCCACGGCCACCCCAGCTCCGACCTCCAAGACGGCGCCCACCCTCACCACCTTGCTCCAAATCCCCATGCCGCACTGCGTCGACCGCCGCCACCTCCACTATGTCTGCTACAATTAGCACGGCTACGACGAACAAAATTACCTCTACCATCTCCACCACGGACCGGAGCGCTCCTGACGCACCGTTGACAACGAACGCATTCATCCACACCTGTATATCCAGCGATTTGGACTGGGTTCCATTCCGCCCTCATGTCGACCGCACATTCACCTCATACATCAGCCTGGCCGGTCATCTGCGGACCCATTGCACAGAGACACGCAAGCCAGTGCCTATGGCACCAATACACGCTCGTCGCATCATCCTGCACTGTCCACGCACATTCATTCACCACATGGGCAGCCTAGGTCACATACGGTATCCATTAAAACCTGCGACAAACCACTGCAGACACGATCACATCACCACACCAACACAGATGCCACGCATATATCCCCTCTAAAATCCCACACCACAGGTACCTCTCACATAAGTGGAAGTGTCCATTTTGGGTCCTTTCTCCGTGCGATTTCCCTGTTGCATGTGAGATCGGGCCGTCCTAACAGCTTTATGTGTGAAATCCCGGTGTGTGTGCCTTTGGGGGGTCAGGTCGTGCATGTGGCGCGCGCAGACGAGCTCTCTAGATCTGTCAGTCACCGCGCCCGTTCTCCGCACCTGAAGACTGGCCGGCTCGGGGCTAGGAACAGAAATAGAGAGCGAGGTCGACGATCCAGTGCATTTTCCTCACTATGAACAATCGGACGCACTTGAAATTGTCACAGTGCGCTAAAGCCGTGGCTTGGAAGGTTGTAAACTGACGGAGTAACTTGGACCTTTCAGTCAACCCAGTGTGAGTTTGTGTGATGTGGCGAACTGGTGGCCTAGGAGTCAGGCTGCGATGAGTTCTATTTAACGTGGCACTTATGGCACTCCCACCTTGTGGAATCCGAGCTGGGTGTGGCGGCATACCTAGAGGCGGATTCGGCAGCGCCAGCCATCCCTCTTGTTGTTGTTGGTTAAAGTCCTGGTTAGGTGTTTGTTGTGGACAGGTGGTGTGGTGGCACGCCCGGGTGCGAGTCCAGCCGTGCCAGCCACTTGCGTCCTATCCCGCCTCCGGTTTATGTCTTGACGCCGGGACCAGGTGAGGAGGAGAGGGTGCGGCAGATGCTGCGCAAGTCTACATTCACTATAAACAAAATCACGGACATTCACCGTGGCAACCATTACCCTGCTGTGTGGCATATGGCGCACACCGTCAGTACCTAAGGTCAAACTGCCATTATTAGTTGGCCATATGTTACAAAGAGATAGATTGCTTAGCAAAGCAAATCACCAAAGATCGTCTAGGATTGCCATTCTAAAACCCTGAAGCTTTGCGTCCTAGAAGTTTAATCCATCATTTTAAAAAGTCTTAGAGTTGCATTTTTCCATAATCTGTAAACACGCTTGTGTAGTCCCTTGTCATCCATCCTCGCAAGGCTGTCGCTCACATGCAGCTGAATTTGACAGGGATTCTGAGAATTCCAGTCACGTGGGGGAACTGCCTGAGGAGTGATTGGAAAGGACAGCCAGAGATGGGCATAACAGTAGGAGGGTTGACACAGGGATTCACATCGGATTGACAACGGGCATGAAGGTTGGTGATGCAGTCGACGAGTCGGCGATTCCTCAAATCATCTAGTAGATTGAAGTGAGGTAGGAAATCGGCACCTATGAGGGCGACGGAAACGTCGGCAATAATGAAAATCCATCGGCAAATCTGATGAAGACCCAAATCAAGTGTAATGGAGCGCTCTGTAAAGGTGGGGATGCTGGAGTTGTTGGCAGCTGTTAGACAAAAAGAGCTGCGGTTTTTGCGTTCGGCCGGAGTTGGTGGAACCACGCTAACTTCGGCACCAGAGTCGACAAGGAATTTGGCGCCAGCGATACGGTCCCAGAGAAACAAGCGGCGAGTGTGGAGATTGGCAACGCTTCCAGCAGCAGTGGCATCTACTGTCGGGTGGGTTCGTCTGCCTGAGGCCGTTAGAGACGCCTTGACAGAACATGCCTGAAAACATCGTCGAGCTGCTCCCCCAGATTGTTGGTAATACCAGCAGACGCTACTTGGAGATTGCGGACGACGGGTGTGGGTAACGGAGGAAGTACGCCGACGGTTTAGTATTCGCCGCGGGCCGTTAGCGGTAACTGCAGTGAGCTGGGCTTTCAGACGTATTAATACCTCCTCGAGCCGCTTCAAGCGTACGTTAGCTGCTTGAGAATTTGGGTTGATGAGTGACTTCTGGTCTTATGACATCGCGCTGTAGGTCTCCGGAAGATTGTTGTTGTGGGCGAAAAGTTTGAGAAATTCCACTGTTCGGAAATTCGGGGTCACCAATTTGTGGCGGTCAAGGATGTGAGATCAACTTAAACCACGCACAATAAGTTCTTTTCGTCTAATGTCAGAAGTCGGGGAACTGTGAGGACTAGTTTATTCTGCACACAGGGCAGGTTGCCGTAAGTTGGCTGTTTGTTTGCAACAGAGAGAATCGTCCGTTCACGGAGAGCGTCAGTCGCGGTGTGTAGTTAACGCAGTGCAATACTCTGTGTCAGTAGGTGGGGTTGACTGGCTGAGTGCTGGTCGTGAGATTGGACGGATTAGAGGAGGATTAGGAAACGCATAATCACAGGGGTTCACGGGAATGAAACCAGATCGTCCGACGCGCGTGAGCTGATACTAGTTTGTGAGGGCAGCCGGGAGTCACTGCAGCTGGACAGGAGGGGCCCCAATTCTAGCCGGTGTGGGTGGTCGTGTGTCAGCAGCCTGTCAACGCTTGTCGCCGCCATCGACCGACAAAACGGAGCCGAAAAAAGGGGGACTGGAGTGGCTGCTACACGTTCAAAGACTTCTGAGTCCGCAATTCTGTCACGTACTTACATATTTAGTGCTATGTGGAGACCGCTGAGAGGGAGGTAATTAAGTTTCCTCGCCTGTTTCTCGTGAACTGTCCATGTTTCCGCTTCGTACGGCAGCGTTGTTGAGATGGCAACTTTGTAAATTATGAATGTGGAGTTGAAATAGAGGCCGTGGTAATTCCAGACTGAGGCCTGCAGTTGACCAAAGGCCTGGCTGAGTCTGATGATCCGGCGGGCCACTTTGTCGTCGATTTTGGCGCTACGCAAAATTGCACTGCCTAAATAGGTAAAATTATCAACGATTTTTAGTTGGGTGCTGTTAACAGTGATGCGATGTGCATTATATTCAATGTTCGATGACTGCTGGCGAATGACCATCCTTCTGACCACATTGATGGTCAGACAGAAGTCGGCGTAGCCGGAGTCAAAGAGGTCCGTGTGCCGTTGCCTATACGGTTCTGCTGTGGTGTTGAGCATGCAGCCGTCTGGGAGGAGCAGATCTCGGAGGGTAGTCATGGGGAGACGCGTTAAACCTTCCAGAAGATGGCCGTCGGTCATGTAGGCGATGCGGGTCCCCGGGCGCTCATCATGATGGACATCCATTAGCATTGCAGGAAGCATGAACCTGAAGAAGGTGGGAGCGAGTACTCTGCCCTGCTTCACTCCCTTGGTGACTGCAAATGCTTCTATGACAGCATAATTGTCAATGGCGCATGCCATCACCCCATCCTGGAGCTGAGGCATCATTTGCGTGGATAACTTGGGACATACAAGTTTCTGGGTGATTTTCCAGAGTCCACCGTGCCGAAGGCAGTTACCGGGTCTGCAAAGGTAGTATAAAGGTTTGTCCGCATTTCTTGGCGCTTCTCTTGCAGTTGGCGGGGGGCGACGATCATGCCAGTATCTGACAGACGTCTCGGAAGCCATAGTGATTTTCGGGGAGAAGTCCGTGCTCCAGATAGTCGTTGACACAATTGAGAAGGATGTGGGTGAAGATCCTTCCAGCGATGTTGACCAGTGAGATTCCTCTGTTACTAGCATAAAGTTGCCGGCTCCCTTTCCTCTTATACTGATGTACAATATTCACATCCTTAAAATTCTAAGGACAAGTTCTTGATTTCACATCCCCTAGAATATCGTTGTAAGTTTGTCCGTCAGTCTGGGCTGTTGTGCTTGTAGACTTCGGCCGGCATAGTGTCCCACCCTGATATGTTATCACTAGAGATTTTTTGACGGGCTTTAATGGTTTCTGAGAGGAAAGGCGGAAGGTTCAGTTCATTGTAATTCCTATTTGGGAGAGCCGGTCGATGGGAGCGTCTAAAATCGTGGATGGGCTGTTAATGGCGGTTCTGGTGTTCTTGGCCCAGCACTCCAGCAAATGGGGATTTCTCCGTTAGGAGTATTGTTCCATCGGAGCTGAGAATCGGTCCGATTCCTTCTGCTGTGGGGCTGCAAATCGCTCTGGTTGAAACGCAAAAGTTGTTTGTTTCATTGCGATCCGCGAACCCTTGCGTTTCCTCGGCTTTACCATTCATCTAGGCGTCCTGTATACCCTTCAACCGTAAAAGCACAGAGTGAGGACACTTGAAGAGAGCATATTGCTTGTGTCGGTTCGGCGGATGATGTAGGTTTTGCGTAGTGTGTTCTACCGGCGAGTAAATTGCTGATGTCAGCAAAGTCGTCATCAAACCAATCCCCGTGTTGACGACGTGCGCGTCTGAGGGAATCTAGGGCGGCGGTTTGGATTGTGTTCCGCAGTTGATATCACCGTTTTATATTCCCCAATACTATGATGCCAGCTCTGCGCGGAATAGAAGACAGACAGGATGGAGTAGAACAGCTTTGCTGTGTCAGTCACCCTGTGTACATCAATTTTAAATCCTTCTGTCCGTAGTTTCGTATTTATGAGGTCTGCCCTTGTCTGGTCTGAGTGTTCCAAACGGTCTAGCCCTGAGTGCCCGCATGGGCAGACCCTCGGACGTTTCCTGCCCCTGTAGGTCGCGTGTAGCAAGGCGGCACGCCAATGGCTCACTCGCGGGCTTGCTAAGCGAGACTGATTTGCGGGTTTGCGGTTCTTTGTCCGGCGTAACCACCGGACGACAGAAATGGTACGTCATGTTCTGGGCCGTCCTCGGCAGCCTTGTCGTCCAAAGTCTGCTGGCCTTCCGTCCTCTACGTCAGTTGGTTGCTGAGAACGATGCAATAGATAGACAAATTGAATAGATAAATGAGTAAACTGTTTTATTGAGTACTCCTAAGGTACTGTCAGAGCAAGTAAAAATAAATCATCGAGAGAACTTTAGAACAAGTATGCAGATACCGCACGGTGGACAGTTCGAGCTTATATGCTAGGAAGTTGGATATGAAGATGTTCGTGGACATTGAAAAAACCCCATTGTTTTTTGGAAAAAGGCAGAATGTATACGATGTAATTAATTTTTGGGAGAAAAAACAATCGCTCATGGGAAGGTAAATATGCGTGTCGGACAGGAGTGTCCCGAAGGCAAGAGTATATGAGGATTCTAGTCGGTTCCCCCAAAGGTTCAATTCCAAAACCATGTGAGGCTGTTCGTTGCAGATGCGGGTCTGACATTTTTATGTTGACAGCAGACGCAATTGTCAAGGTAGCGGAACAGGAGGAACCGAACGTGGTCGGTCGCGGTCAGTTTAGGTGGCAGGCGAGGAGAGGGTATTTAATTCTGCGGGAGTTATCAAATCGCGGGGAGATGCAACCACTATACTACTTTGCTGACCGAGCAAGCTACTAGCAGAGGGCGGAAGCAGAGGAGTCCATCGTGATCGTCGACAGGCCGACCGGGGGCCGAAGTGAGGAGATGACTTTAAAATCCGCGAAAATCGTCGATCGCGAAGGGATGTAGACGAGTAGGGCAAATTCTTCATTAAGGTAGGATGGGAGCACACGGGCTTTAAGTGGTGGTAAGCCCAGGATGGGACTGACATTAGAGGTGAGAGCTCGAAATCCAAGGGGCCAGAGTTGGTTCCTGATGAGGGCCAGCGATAAACGAAACGGAAGCAGCATTAAAGCGTGCATGTCAACGTGACCCCGGTACTTCTTTGGGAAGATTAGTTAGGGAGGACATCATTCTCTGTGAATAAGTCGATGCGTGGACTAAATAATAGGATAAAATTGAAATTTCTGATAAGCGATCATAGAAGGTGACACCACACACAGAGAAGCAAATGAGAGCGGGCATGGTAATTTAGCTGCGGCGTCCTAAATTCACGGTGATTCTTTCTCAATGTCATAGAGGAAGTTGTTCGGGAAAGATGAGGAAAATAAAATTTTATTCGAGTCAGTATTCGGAGAAAGGCGCAATTTGGTCTTAAAAATATGTAGATTATCTGATGATCTCATATCTGTTAGATGGTTATCTCGAAGGAAAAATATACCTGAAAGCAAAAAAAGGGAGGGCTTACAGGTGGAGGAAGCGGGAGGAGGTATAGTCAAGGAAGGATTGCGAAGACTGTATGGGCAACTAACGGGGGTAAGGGCTTAAATCCGAAGGATATTTGAACTATCATTAATTCGAAAGAGGAGACAGAAGCCTGCTTCTACTGGCCTTTTAATTTCCTCAGAAATTAACTTAGAACTTGAGGTAGATCAGTGTATTCTAGGTCTATAGGCGCAGAACAAAATTTTATGCATGAATATTTGGACCGAAATCCATCGGCCAGAGCGAGTAACCGCGTAATATTCATTAACTACCAACAGGCAGCTAGTAGTACATTTTAGGGTAGGGGAATGCCATAGTAACATACCACAATAGCCGTTATAACTAAGAGGGATTTTGGTCAGTGCCTGTGCTGTTAGTAATAATGATTTTTTATTCCAGACCCGTGGGCGTCCGGTCATCGCAAGAAAGAACAAATTTTTACATGAATTTTAGAACGGGTAAACCGAGTCTGTACAATACTCAATTCATAGTTATTGAATACTCAGTCTGTTACGAACAATGATGAGCGGGCAGCGAAAAAAACTCCTAAAAAATAAACAAAATAAATATGACTGGATTAACATTAAAGGAGAAGAAAAACTGTCGTTCATGAAAGGATAAAAAGCGGACCGGACCGGCCTGCGTGTGACAGTGTATAACAGACTTCATGAAGGGGTAAGTAAGCGGGTCAGACAGGACTGGCCTGCGTGCGGTATTGAGTAAAAGGTTCGAAACGGGCATCATCAAGGCAGAATTCATATGCCGGATGAGGCCATTCACATCCAAGTGGTGAGACGAGAGGAACCCAGACGCGATCGGTCACAGTCCGCTTCCAATCCAGCCGAGGAGGGGGCAAGGGAGATGCGATCAAACTATTAGTAGGTGGCGAATGCAGAGGGTTCTGCCATGGGCGTCGATAGAGCGCATGGGGTCGAAATGAGGAGATGACCTCAAGAACCGCAAAATTCAACGCGGGGGAGGAGGATGAGTGTTCGAAATCGCGGGGGCAGTGCGAAATTCTTATCGTATGTTATCTCCTTACCCTGAAAAATAGACTAGCTGCCTGTCAGCAGTGAATGAATATTACGCGGTTACCCGCTCTGACTGATGAGGTCTGCACCTATAGACATAGAATATACTGATCTACACGGAGTTCGCAATTTAATTCTGAGGAAATTAAAGAGCGAACATTTCTAAACTGGAGTATCCACCAGAAAGCAGATGGGGAATGCTGGAGGACCCAATAATGAGCCGAAACGCTTGCAGCTGTATCATGCAGCGGCAGAATGTCGGCGAAACACGCGGTTGTGGGCATGGTATCCTCTTACCCTGCTTCTAGTTCCCGAACCCATATGGATTTTATGTTAGTTGGCATCTATATGAGAACGAAATACTCTGATATACCTTCCTTAAGGGGATTCTATTGAAATGTATTTGAACGTTCTTAATTTTAGGACGACTAGCCTCGCTCGGCAAGCTAATACTCAAGAATGGGGAGTACAAACATTTTATAAAGTCTAAATTTAGTTTCCGGAATGTAGAAATCATAAGAAATAAAGTCACGAATCTAGGTAACATTGACCGTAATTCTGTCAGCGTGTGGCTAGAGATCCTGATTATTGGTGTGGCTTAAAGTTAAGTCCTTGATGATGGCACATTAATTCAGTATAATTCAGTATATATGAGGGATAGAGGCAGAGCCTTGGAAAACCCTATTGACAGATAGACGCATGAGAAAAAAACATGCAGATATTTACAGAGAACTTATGCCAGTCATTGATATCATGTAAATGTTTGACCATCAAACATAAGTTTATCTAGTCTTCTTTTGAAAGTCTCGACGTTTTCCGCTAAGACAACGGAGTTCGGCAATTTGTTCCATCCCTCAATCAGCCGGTGAGAGAAAAATTTGGCCCGCAAATCGAGTCTGGCATGCTTCGTCTTCACTTTGTATGGGTGCCCTCGGAGATTTGTCGTCCGCGCCAGTTCGAAGGAGTCGTCAAACTGAAGAGCACACTCTAGCCCTCGGACGATCTTGAAGGCCATGATCTTGTCCCCTCTGTACTGTCTATAAGAGAAAGGAAATATCTTTAGCTTCTCCAGCCGTCTCTCATAAGGTAAGCCACATAATCCGCCGACTAGCCTGGTCGCTCTACGTTGTACGTTCTCCAGTAGGGTGTAATCTTTTTTCGTCCAGGGACACCATACCTGGACACAATATTCCAACATTGGTCGAACGTATGCGCCAACTACTCGGCCGAAAAGTTCTTCATCAAAACTGACGAAGGATCTTCTAATCGCGCCTAGAATACCCATAGCCTTCTTTGATACATTGGCGCAGTGAAACAATAGTTTGAGAGTTGACGTCATCCACACACCGAGGTCTCTTAATTCGTTGACTGATTCGAGTTGGTGACCTCCTATAAAGTACTGATATTCAAATCTCAACGGCCTCCTGTTGCTCGAACGTAATCGGATAAGTTGGCATTTGTTATGATTGAGGCTAAGACACCACTCATCACACCATTTTTGCAAGCGATTTAAATTGTCTTGTAATTGTGCAGAATCTTCTGGCTTCTCTATTGATTTCCACAATTTGAGATCGTCGGCAAACATTACGCGCTCGCAGTTCAGACAGCCCAGGCAGTCGTTCACATATATTAGGAACAGAATTGGACCCAGAACGCTTTCCTGCGAAACGTCACTGTGCATGGATTCCCATTCCGATCTAGCGTTTCCGATACACACACGCTGAGATCTGCCCGTAAGAAAATCGGCTAGCCATTTCAAAAGATTTCCATTCACACCCACTTGACGTATTTTACATATAAGTCGTCTGTGTGGAACAGTGTCAAAAGCCTTTTTGAAGTCGATGTACACGGCGTCGACTGATAAGCCCATGCCAATTGATTTCGTCCAGCTCTCCATGGATACTAGGAGGTTGGTGAGACAGGATCGACCGCTTCCAAATCCATGCTGATGTAGATTGAGCAAGTTGTTTTCTTCGAGGTGCCGCATCAGCTCCGTTTTTATTACTCTTTCCATCAACTTACAACAGATGTTAGTGAGACTCACTGGTCTGAAACTATTTGGGGCTGTTCTCTCGCCACCTTTATAAATGTGGCTTATATTTGCTTTCTTCCAGTCGGCAGGCAAAGCCGCGGGCTCTATCGAAGTTTTAAAGATCTGGGATAACGGAGATGCCAGTTGGTCTGAGAGTCCGTTCAGAACTTTTGCGAACACGCCGTCCGGACCAGGGGATTTAGTGGGCTGTAGTTGCCTCAAAGTTTTCCTTACCGTGTCTGTTGTGAAGTCCACCGTGTTAATTGAACTGTTTGATTTGACTATTGGGGGGTAAACACCATTATCAAAAGCCGGCACCTCAGTATACACAGACTGTAGAAGTCGGATAAAAGATTCGCCTTATCTGACATGTCAGACTACGTATTTTCCTGGCAATCTTTTAGGCAGGGAATGCAGTCCCGGTTGCGTATTGCCTTATCAACGTATACAAAGAATTTTTTTGAATTTTGCAGGATATTTTTTTAATACTTTCCGACATAGCGTGGCAGGTAGCGTCTCCTTGCCCTTCGCCTTTGTCCCGCTGCCTACCTGTCCGCCTCACACTCCTTGCTGATACGCTCCTGGGACACGCGAGACTTGTCTCTAGCCTCGCGACTGCTCCAGGCCAATCAACGCTGTCCCCAATATGATTGGCTGGCGGACGCGGAGACAACGAAAGGCGTAGACACGCGCTGGATCACAGCGCCTCGAAGGCGGACACAGAACAACTTGCGTGGAGAGCGCGCTCGCGGCGACTGCCTACAGAGCCTTTGTGTACGCACTTCCAAAACAGTAAAGGTTGTCCGACTCACTCCGTCTTCCCTAACTTTGTATTGGGAATCCTTGTCTTGTCGACCATCCCTCTTTCGATATTGGTGACTCCCTTGCAAACAGCAATCTTCCTTCTTCCGAATCTACAATAAAGTCAGGCGTTGATCGTGGACAACTTTCCACCGGAAGTGCAGCGTATTTTGGCACCCGCCTTCGACGTTCTTTCGGCCAAGCACCTTACTCAGATGGTCGATCAGCTTATGGAAATGCGCGGTTTTTCCAATCCATTTATTTCAGCTCTCTCAACTACCCCTGCGTCTCCCATTTCGCAGTTGGAGATCGAGCTCAGCAAGCTGGCCGATGATATAGCTTCTCTCCAGAAGCCGGCAGTTTCTTCCTCATCTCGGAGCCAACCGAAGCCGTCCACCCCGCATGTCCAGTCTTCACATTTGGCCCGTCCAAAGACAGCCGTCACCTGCTGGTACCGCACCACCTTCGGTGCTAAAGCCCATCGCTGCATTTGTCTCTGTTCCTTCACCTTCAAACAAAGCAAACGGGTAAAACCGGTCAGCCGGAAGGTCAGTGCAGTCAATCTTCCCGACAGCTCTAACCCTGGTCGCACATTTTACGTCCGCGACACCCGGAGTGGCAGACATTTCTTGGTTGACACTGGTGCCCAGAAAAGTGTCATTCCACCCACATCAGCTGATCGTCTGTGCCCCAATCCCGGTCTTTTCCTGCAGGCCGTCAACACATCGCCAAGCACCACCTTTGACACCTGCTCCCTCTATCTGGACATCGGTCTCCAAGTGTCTTTTCCCTTGGGTCTTCGTCGTTGCTGACATTCCCTGTGCCATTCTCAGTGCAGATTTCCTCGCCGCTTTGCGATCTTCTGGTCGACTGCCTTCAGTCACGTCTACACTACAAGACCACCAATCTCACTGTCCAGAGTATATCTTCCTCCGATGCTTCTCGTCAACTCGCCGTCTTGGACCCCGAACCCGAGAATCCATACCGGCAACTTCTTGCTAAATACATCGGCCTCACTCGCCCCAACTTCAGCGCTTCTGTTCCACCACACGACGTTGTTCACCACATCCGGACCACTGGCCCTCCTGTATTTTCTCGGCCCCGCCGTCTCGCGCCTGCACGTCCTGCTGCCGCCAAGGCCGAGTTCGAGCACAGGCTTCAGATGGACATCATCCGTCAGTCTAAAAGCCAATGGGCCTCGCCCCTCTACATGGTCCTAAAGGTCGACACTGGTGACTGGCGTCCCTGCGATGATTACAGGGCCCTGAACAACATTACCGTCCCGGATCGCTTCCCTGTCCAACATCTTCAGGATTTTGCCGGTGCCCTATTCGGAAAATCTGTATTCTCGAACATCGATGTGGTCCGTGCTTTCCACCAAATTCCCATAGCTCCAGAGGACGATTCGAAGGCGGCTGTCACCACACCCTTTGGCCTCCTTTAGTTCCTGTGCATGCTGTTTGGACTGCGTAACGCCTCCCAGACCTTCCAAAGGTTCGTAGACAGAGTGCTTCTGGGCCTACCATTTGTCTACGCCTATATCGACGACCCTCTGGTAGCTAGCTACATGGCCGAAGAAGAAATGGAGAATCTGGCAAAGATGTTTGACCGCCTTAAAAAATTTGGCGTTGTTCTTAACCCGTCCAAGTGTGTCTTCGGTGTTTCTTCCCTAGAATTTCTCGGTCATCTGGGCGACTCATACGGCATACATCCTCTTCCCTCGAAGTTTGCGGCCATCCGTGGTTTCCCTCGCCCCTCCTCCAAACGTCAGCTGCAGCGATTTCTGGGTATGGTCAGCTTTTACTGCCGGTTCCTCCTGCACTGCGCCCACACCATCCTGCCGCTCTCGAGCCTCCTCTCTGGCCGCAAACGTTAGTCTGAGCTGTCTGCAGACGCCCTCACTGCTTTTGACAGGGTGAAGGCTGCTCTGGCCGACGTTACTCTCCTGACGCATTTTTCTTCGGATGCTCCCTTCCTCCTTATGGCTGACGCCTCCAATGCTACAGTAAGCGCGGTTTCTCAGCAGCATCTTTCAGGTCGCACCTAACCCTTAGCTTTCTCCTCCAGGAAGTTATCACCTGCCGAGACGCGCTATAGCATATTTAGACGTGAGCTCCTTGCTGCCTTCCTCGCCGTGAAACAATTCCGGCATTTCCTTGAGGGCAGGGACTTCACTGTGTTCATGGATCACAAACCCCTTTCGTTCGCTCTCAAGTCCACGCCTCGTAAGCGCAACCCTCGGGGAAATTCGCCAACTGGACTACATCTCACAGTTTATATCAGACATCAGCCACATCGACGGGTCATGCAATGAGGCGGCTGACGCACTGTCCAGGCCCTCCATCGCACATCACCAACTTTCTCCCGGGATCGACCTAGCTGATATGGCTGCCGAACAACGCCGTGTTGGTTCTCCCTGTGATGAGGACGTTTCCGGACTCCAACTCCAGGACCTGCCACTGACTACTGGCAACGGCATCATTCTATGCGACGTCTCCACCACTTTCCAGCGTCCCTTTGAGCCGCCATCCCTCCGCCATAAAGTCTTCTCCCTGCACTATCTTTCTCACCCTGGGGGTCGAGCTACCGACAAGCTGATTTCCGACCGCTTCGTCTGGCCTGGAATGCACAAGGACTTCAAAGCATGGACACGGGCGTGTCCCGGCTGTCAACGGAATAAGGTCCAACGGAACAACGAAGCTCCCATTGGCACCATCCCTATTTCGGACGTACGGTTCAGTCATGTTCACCTGGACATCGTAGGTCCTCTGCCTCTGCCCAATGGCTGTTCCTATCACCTTACCTGCGTGGATCGATTTACCTGGTGATCGGAATCTATTCCCCCGCCTGATGTCGCTGCTCCAACGGTCGTCAAGGCTTTCCTCAGTCATTGGGTTGCCATTTTCGGTGCGCCATCCACTATCAAGACTGACCACAGTGCCCAATTTGAATCTAACCTTTTCCAGTCTCTTCTCTCTTTTTTAGGCTGTGCTCGCATTTGCACTACAGCCTATCATCCGGCAGCCAACGGGATGGTCGAGCGGTTTCACCGCCAGCTGAAGGCCTCCTTACGCACCGAAGACGATCCGGAGAACTGGACAGACCCCCTCCCCCTAGTCCTGCTGGGATTCGCTCCTCCCTCAAGTCGGATCTTAACTGTTCTGCTGCTGAACTTGTGTTAGGTGCCACCATCCGACTTCACCGTCAGATGATCTCGCCTATTCCGCGATTTTCAGTTGAGGATCCTACAAATCTTCTGCATCGCCTCCGACAATTCATGTGAACACTTTCCCCGGTTCCGCTCAGGTCATCCTTCTCCGAGTCTTACCTCGAAAAATGCTTGGCGACATGCTCTCACGTCTACCTCCGATGTGATCGAGTCCTCCGACCCCTGGAACCACCCTACGATGGTCCCTTTTGAGTTATCTCTCGTGGGACGAAGAAATTCCGCATCCAACGCGGAACTCGTGAGGTGGTCGTGAGCGTGGACCGTCTCAAAGCTGCCGTCCCGAACGCTCCTCCGGATAAGCCCTGTGGTCACCTACCCCCTGTTCCCCTTCCTCGACTCTCTATCCCTCCCTCCCGTATACTTCCCCTGTTCCCATGTCCGCAACTCCCAATGGCAATTACAACTTCATCAACCGACAACACTGTAACAGCGAGCCATACTTACTCTACCCCTGTCCCCCTTGTATGCATCACCCGTATTGGACGCCATGTTCATTTTCTTGACCGTTTGATCACCCGTGTTTTTTAGACATAAACAATTCCTTCGGCGTTGCTACGCGCCACGTTCGATATAGTCTGAGGGTACTGTGGCCGTTCACTTCTCCTTGCCCTTCGCCTTTGTCCCGCTGCCTACCTGTC